TGTATCTAGTAGGCACCGTCCTTAAATAGTGTCAATCTTCAAACTTGATGAAGACAAAAAATGGTAATCTCTTTGTTAACAAGCTATCTTCTCAAAAATTATCCTTCCTGTTGACGAAGTACCAATAAATCAACTAGTAATGCCAACCAGATCCAGCTTCATCACTAAACAGAAAAGACTACTAGCATATTAACCGATTGAACGCAATTTCATTTAAAGTGGGTCATAACGGTTTCCGCAATTTCAGCGCTTCTTCTTTGATGGATCAATGCTGCTATCCGTTTCCAGATGAAGCTACAATCATAATATCAAACAAATGTCCAATGGCAAACCATGACTTATTTTGTGACTCCAAAGTTTGCCTTGGCAACAATATGACCCATTGAACACCACGCTGAGATTTGACTTTATGAGCCCATAATTCAAAACCGATGCAATATTTCGCCAAGTTTAAAACAAATCTCCAAGCAGATTCATAACCGGATTCAATTTTTGAACACTTTAAGAGCGTCTCAAGCCATTAAACTAAAATTAAGGGTGTTTTCAGCAGCTTATACCGTACATATAATTGAACCCATATATCAACCTAGAACTATAGTACCTACCCTAGAGAAAATCGATCTTGCTATGACGATTTTGTTTTTCAGAGATACACCAGTACTGTTTAGGCGGTCCATATCACTCTTACATCCTCTGTTGATGTAAACAAGTTCGCCTTCAACAGTCCCATTTGGTGAATATGCAAAGTATGGAGTATAGTTAAATACCTTGCTTGCTGTAGGTTCAGCTCTTACCTGCATGATTGAAATAAAAACAAAGTTATTGCCAGTAAAGGTGTTAAAACAAATCGGTGTCAACAGAGTTTGACGTTTTTTTGTTAAGTTGCTGCACTGCATTTGGCATCACTGTGACCATAGCAACTGCATTTTGACGCGTACGTCATTGCAGTTATTTTTTTTTTATATATTTCTTTGCAGAACTAGTACTGGTCCTCCTTCCCTGCCTTTTTTTTGGTAAAACTGCAGGTGTTTATCATCCCATTGTCCCACCCCTTACTACCAAAGTGGGGGATGGGGGGGTGGGGAGGGGGAGGGGGAAGTACATTTCCTTGTATGCAGAAGGCAGAAGTTTTAAACAGAAGGTTTAAATTAACTTTTTATGGTTATCACTGTCCATTTATTTACCTCCACTCTACCCAAAATTGTTGATTGAATCGTTCCGTTGACGATAATTTCCACTTTGTTAGGTTTGTCTTTCTGATAGAGGGAGAGAGGCACTCTGTACTCAGGCATTTCGACCACGTCAAAACCGTACTTCCGCCATTTTTTAGCCAAATATGCAGCCAGATCCCGTTGGCGCGTGGATCCCGCCATGTGAGGTTCAGAGGTGATGAACCTGTATTGCACATCAAAACAAAAAATTGGCTTGTTACAGATTTATATTGAATATGGCTAGTAAATCAGTTCGGTCTAAAGCAACAAAGCCTTGTTCACACTAGCGATATAACGACATAAGAAGTACGCTGTATATCGTTATGCTTGCAGTGTGAACATACTGACGTAATTACATAACGGCAATATAACAGTATGAACAAAACGACATAAGGAAAAAAAGCGATCTTTTCATTATGTCTTTATATCAATGTTCACATTACCGGCATAAAATGATTATGTCGCTGCTACTGTTTCGCCATGTCGTTATGTCGCTATCGTGTGAACCACGAGGGCTAACATCAGGGTGCATCCACGACTCAATGGACGTACGCCTATCCATAGAATGACTTCAACACCGCAGTGAGCAATTTTACAGCTTGCTCTAATTAAGCTAAAATTAAAACTTTTTAAACCTCCCTCTGTAAGTGCTGAGTGAAAAGGAACTCTTTCGGTTCGATTTTCAAGCTTCAGAAAGCGTCGGAAATGGAACAGAAATATTGTGTTCAGTGTGATTTCCCTACTATCCGCTAAAGAAACTTAGATTTTACTTCCCGGCGCACGCTTTAGGTTTTTCCTACGAAGGTGAAAAAATCTTGGGTTCGTAATTCTCATTTGTGCGCACGGATTTCCTATCACAAAAGTACATTTCGGTTTGTGATTAATTTTTAGCTGTGATTTTATAGAGTCACGGACGCGTTCGTGAGTTTTTCGTTAAGCTGAGGAACGGTTTTTCCTCCAGTAACTCATAGCTTTTGTTATGCCCTCGAAACTCCCGATAAATTAAACGTTCACTAAGCATGAACCGTTTCTTAGAAATGTTGTTGGTTACTTGCAGGGACCTTTCGATTATCAGTAAGCATCATGTAAGTTTACATATGACCCGTTATTAATACTAGGCTTTCACTTTGGATCGGGTTTCTCAAGTATCAACTTAATTTTTTTATGTCCGATGGTGCGTTTACGAAGTCAACAGTCTTCTCCAAAGCGTGCACGTACCACAACTTGTCTTTCTTGTAACTGGTTGAATATTTTAACATTCTACACAATTCTTGTTGCCGAAGTACGTTCCATCCTGACGTTGGGCTGCGTCCAGTCGCTTCGCCGGAAGAATTTTAAAACCCAACAATCACTGATCATTTTAGATTTTTGTTTGGAAAAAAAAAATGTGACAGGAAAATCACATTTTCACAGCGACACCATCGTTTCCAAAAACTCTGTTTATAACATGTTTCCCGTCCACACGTAAACGAAAAGCCTGCGTTTTCAAATTCTTCCAATTTGAAGAGCGTCTTCGAAACGCTTCGTTTTCGTGACGGATTAGTGTGGACGATAAGCCTAACCGTAGAAATAAAGCTACGTTTTCACATTCCTGGGGCTTAGTGTGGACGGGGCCTTAGTTTGTTACATTTACATTATGAATAAATTGAACACTTTTATGTGCCTAACGCGTGAAGCCAGTGTGCATACTTTAATTGTTTTTCGGCTCCGTGTTTATTTGTCGAAGTCCAACTCATTCTAAGCATCAATCACGATTTACAAGTGGTTCAGTATTTTTCTATGGACTCGTTACCATAGCTTGCAAACTATTTAGCTTTCCAAAACTGTTAAAATAATGCAAACAGGCTTTCGATTGCCTTCGAGAACAGGATTAATTACTGATCAGTTGTGAACCAAGCATTTCAATTAAACCGATAAAAGGAATGTTTCAGCTTGACTTCTGTATTCTGTATTTTCTTCAACATAGTGGCTTTCTGTAAATCGTTGCAAACCTCTAGAGACACATTTGAGGAATCAATTCCTTGATAACGACTAGAAGAACAAATAGACGTGAAGTCGCCTGAGTAAAAAGGGCAAAAAAAAAAAAAAAAATGGTCTCATACCGTCAAAAGTATCGAGAAATGAAAACGAGCTGCTGTGTATGTAATCATTAAACTATTGCTGGGATTCAAGATTCAATACTCTCAGATCATCAAACGTCATTAACATAGCCATTCACAACGTACAGGAAAGAAACGTTCAGCGATCTCTTACCTGAGGTTATCTTCAATATTTTCGGCGTTTATTTCATTCTGAAACATTGTGTGGTACTTTTCTTTGCTGGAGTGCCGCTCTGGGTTAGTTCCACCATTATCTTTCTGGCATTTCGTTGCATCCTTCCCAGCTTTCATGGCGAAATATCCAATTAAAAATCCACAAACAGCAAAACAAACGGCTAGTAACACGACGAGAAGGATTTCACGGCGCCGTCTTGGCCTGGAGATTGGGGACATTTCGAACTCCATGCTGCTAAGCCACGTCAATTAATCGCACAGGAATCTTTGCCTAGACTTGAATCTGCTCAAACGTCTTTCTTTTGAGCACAATGGCGGTGCATTTAAGTGAAAGCGCTGTCAAATGACATAAGGGCGTGGAATTACGATTTTAATTAAAACTATCAGTTAGTAAAGTGGTTTAAGGTAAATATTTTTTTTCGTATGCTTTCGATCACCACGGAGCTCTTTAAAGAGCCGTAAGTATTCAATATATTACATAAATCTAAGCAGAATGAGTATGCAGCGAGCGAAAGGCATACATAGTTACTAAGAGAAGCACTAGTTTCTTTAAGTTTGAAAATGTATACCTAGGAGCCAGAACTATGTTCACCTGTAACCCTAAAGACAGCATAGATAAACAGACTTTTGACGTGAGTTACATGTTTTCCCTTTTTTTTTTGTTATTTTAGCCGAACAAAAGAACAAAATTGAGACGTATTCCAGTTAATACCCACAACATCCTTGCAACAAAAATTGTTATCGCCCTGTTTAGCCTTCTCAGAACCGTATTAATAGCGTTCCCTAGGGATATGTGTGTTGAAAAATGTCCTTGCTCTGTTATCTCACAGCGGTATTGATAAAGTTCCCTTGGGAAATGTGTTCAAAGAGACAAATAGTTCATTTTGTTACTTATTTGGGGGTAAATTGAAAACAATACCATTTAAGGTTTATATTAATATACCTTCCAAGTAAATTATATGATTTTATCAAAGGGTACCTTTCTTAGGATCATGTTCCATCTAAGTGAAGTCGTTAAGTCAAGTCCAGTATTCAATATGGGGGTAGAAGAGGAAACTGTTTGGCTTCGTTGCCATATAATTTATACTTATTTACGTTGTTAGTTTTAAGACAGTCAATCTTTTTTTTTTCCCTCTAGTCTTCCTAGTATGCTCGTTATCGCTAAGTGGTTTGTTGTCTAGTTACTCCAGTCAGCCGTCAAACCTTTCCAGACTGGGAAAACGACTTCAAAGTGATCATTTTTCAGTACTGATTTTCACTTACGCATTTTTTATCATATCACCGCTTCACATTTAGGTGCTAAAACTATGTTATTGAAAATAAAACAGCAACAAAAAAATTTCTGTACTCGGCTTTCCTAAAGTAACCGTTAAATTTAGGTTCAGGCTTAGCAAGCTTTGATTTATTTTTTGGAAAAAAAGGTGGAGTCTCTGCTTTTTTAGATTTCAAATAAAGCCTGGAACTACTGTTAAAATCTAAAGTTAAAATCCAATCTTTCGCCGATGGACGGCATCACCAGGGATAGTGGTGGACAATGGCATTGACTTCAATGCCTCTAGCGACTCCAACACCAATCAACGGGTAGCCCGCATGCTGGTCAAGAGATATGAGAACAGAATCAAATCAATTTGGAAGAACATTTGCTTTTGGAATGAGTTCCCTCCTTTAGTCCGAAAAAGCTTCATCGCCTCAGACACCGGTTTGCCCAGGTGCTACCATCACATCAAGACCCACAAATCTGCCCTAGATATTAATACGACCCATCGTATCTAACACCAATGGGCCAACCTAGCACATCTCATGATTGTTCGTCAACGCCTTTAACGTCCCAGCACATCTAGAAAAAAGCCTCGAGTTCATTAAGTGCAACCATCCGAAAAACGACCCCGCAAATCTAATCTAAAACAAAGATATCGTATAGAGGGATCGCTTCTCACGTAATTATTGCTAAGCGAAGGCATCATGCTAGATACCAGTTAACTTCAAACATGTGCAAAGCTTGCGGACGTAGTAACTGGTGAAATTTTTGGCTCTTTGATTGCAACTGTCAAGGAGAAATTGGCTTCAAAGAACTGCAAAAAGTCTGGGTGCCTTAATGACCGCATAGTTCTTTGAAAACTTGTAAGGTTTTAAACCCGCGTTTCACAAGATAGATTCATACTTTGTACAGTTACAATTCAGTTATTATTCCCGACATGAGGTGATTAAACGAACAATTTTCAAACACACTGAGAAACAATAACCAAGCTAATCACAACGTTTCCATACTTACTGATAATATTCGCTGTGGTTTACTTTTCTTTATCTGTTTTGCTACTATCATGTACACAAGGAGGTGATTTTTTAAATGAGCGGGGGCGTATTGGGTACCTCGAAAAGTAATTAGGTTGATAGTTACACAAATGCCATCCAATCAGATACCTGTTGCCCGCCTTTTTGTGACTAGGTGTCACACGAAGCTTCAAATAAATCAATCGGTGAAATGACGTATTTTTATGTTATTTGAACGAAAAGCATTTGAAATTACGAACTTTCATACCACCAAAAACCATGTGCAAAAAAAGTATATTTGTGGACCCTCTACAATTAAATAATACGAAATAGCCGGGGACTAAGGTGTTCAACTTACGTTGCCCAGATAGACAAGCAGCTAAACAATTAGTATTCCTTTATTAATAGTTTCTGTTCCATAAAAGAAACTTTACTTTCGTTGACGCGTTGTGATGATTAACCATCTGCTTTCAATGCTAATCTATTTTGAACATTTTCATCCCTCTTATGTAAACAATAAAAAATAACATTGATGGTGTGTTTGCGTTCGTTCTTTACATACCTGTCGCTTTTAAGCTGTTTAAACAAATGCAGTGTGAAGGGTTTTGTTCATTGTTACTGGCGTTAACAACAGAATCAATTTCATTGAGCAAAGAAAACGTCGATAGTAAGAAAACAAGCTAAGAATAACATTTCATGGAAGCCTAACTCTATAGTTTTCATTTAAGCATTGACGGAGACTAGGGTTTCCCCAATAGAGATTACAGCTTTTTTTGAATGGTTACATACTATGGCTTACAACACACTAATATTTCGCTGAAACGTTTCCATTAGTTTAACAGTCCCAGTGGGTTTTAATCCACAGTCGGCGTCAACGCCGGAGCTACAGCCACTTTCATTGACTGCGAGAAAGAACATATTAAGTTCAATGTCCCTTATTTTAAACAAAAATTACAACAACAACAACAACAAAAACAACACTTACAAAAGAGCAGTGAAATTCGCCTCGGATCTCTTACCGATTAAGACGCTACAATGTAAATGTAAATCAGTTTCTAATGATCTTTTTTTTGAGGCGATGGGTGTTATAAAATTTGATTAATAGGGAAGTGTATTTGGTTAGGTTAACGAATAATTATTATTTTTCATTTGAATTTTCTGTATTTGTAATTTAAAGTTATAAATGATTAAATTACAAAAAAATGGCCCTTACCACTTCCCAGCTGTGTGTATTCTCAGCGTGTGAGCTGTGTTTATATATGCGTACATTGCTACCAAAGAAAACGTAAACATCCAAAACTCGCACCAAAACGATTGATTTGAATAAAATTGACAAAAAGAAAGAAAAAAAAGGCTAATATTATTATTGTTTAACTTAGCACTTATCTACATTCACAAAGGCAGAAGGCCGTATTCATTCTGTTGCAATACTGCAAGTCGATCGGTTTATTCATCATTATTTTCTTTTAATTTCCAATCTTAGAACGAAAAGCGCTGTTGTGAGATATGAGTAGAAAGCTTTATATTTTTTTAAACTTGTATTGCTTTATCATTCGATGGCTAGCATTATACATAAGGTTAAGACATCCGTCCAATGTAGTTTCAACAACACCCCTTAATTAATTGTTAAAACATGAAACATTTGCCTCGTGCAAATTTATAACATCATGTCGATAACCAGTTTGGTTTGAGCATCCACCTCTTTATCAAGAGAAGTGTGCCTCTTCTTTCCCGATAATTTCATTTAAGTATTTCAATGTATCTAGACAAGCGTCAGATAACCGATGCATCGATTGCAGTGACTATGTAGTTTTAGTGTTCAACTGTAATCAGAGCTCGATAACACACGAATTAGGCAAAAAGAATTAGGATAATTACCAACTCAAAATTATTGTTTTCCTGTGCAACTTGTTAAAAAAAGCATACGCTTTTAAAGTTCTACGCTTAGGCACATTTTCGTTAAAAATAATTGAATGTTGGTAATCCAAAAGTATCCGTGGCTGCATAGTAAACAGTTCAAAAGTTATAAATAATAATAATTCAGTGCCAAAATAAACTCAATTACTAACAGACGTTTCGGACCTAGCCCTTCCTCAGTATTAAGTTTAGTTTTTGTTTCGATTTAAAACTAAACTTAGCACTAAGGAAGGGCTAGACCCGAAACGTCTACTACATAATTGAGTTTATTTTGGCACTGAATCCTTATTATTCATAACTTTTGAACGTTTTCGTTTATTCAAGGGAGAACTCTGAGAGTCAAACTTCCTTTAAAAAAAACAACAACAACTAGGTTAATTGCTAAAGCATCAATGTCTTAGAGACGCATTTTTGCTTTCATTTGCTATTATAATATTTAACTAAATTCGTTCTTTTTAACGCTTAGAAAATCGTTACCACCTTTTCACAGTTTCAAACCTACAAAGGATGTATTATCTCGCAAATGAAGGTATTTTTTGACCGAGCAAATTGCAACACAATTTTTTTGGTGTAATAAATTATAGTTTAATCAGCTTCCTTCTGGAGGAAGTTACCGCTAAACAAAATAACTTCTTTTGTGATATAAAGGTGCGCACACTATCTTCCTTGCTACATTACCCTCCTGTGCTAGCTTATACTGGTCTACAGCTTCTGTGTCCACTAAGAACTAAAGTTGCCTCNATGAATAAATTGAACACTTTTATGTGCCTAACGCGTGAAGCCAGTGTGCATACTTTAATTGTTTTTCGGCCCCGTGTTTATTTGTCGAAGTCCAACTCATTCTAAGCATCAATCACGATTTACAAGTGGTTCAGTATTTTTCTATGGACTCGTTACCATAGCTTGCAAACTATTTAGCTTTCCAAAACTGTTAAAATAATGCAAACAGGCTTTCGATTGCCTTCGAGAACAGGATTAATTACTGATCAGTTGTGAACCAAGCATTTCAATTAAACCGATAAAAGGAATGTTTCAGCTTGACTTCTGTATTCTGTATTTTCTTCAACATAGTGGCTTTCTGTAAATCGTTGCAAACCTCTAGAGACACATTTGAGGAATCAATTCCTTGATAACGACTAGAAGAACAAATAGACGTGAAGTCGCCTGAGTAAAAAGGGCAAAAAAAAAAAAAAAAATGGTCTCATACCGTCAAAAGTATCGAGAAAT